CACACACACACACACACACACACACACACACACACACACACACACACACACTCACACACACATTGTATGAGTTCTCAGAACTTACTCTGGATCACCAGTATTTTGGAGCGAGTATGAACGCCAACCTCAATCTTATCAACATGGACTAAACAATGCGGATAACTGCGCATTTGCTGTTTGCGAATGTCGTTCGTGAATGTCGTTCTCTCTGGGTCCCTGTTGCACCCAGTTCACCTTTGGGTAGCCCTGGGAAGATACCCTGTCGATGGCACTGCTGTTTTGTTTTGCCCTTCGATGTGTCTCGTAACAACTCATCTCACACTTCTCCCAGTTCGCCTCCTCCATGTCTTTCCTCTACCCCGTCCTCATTGTATTTTTCTTCCCGCCAAAATGGCCTTTGCTCTCTCAGCTGATCCAAAACACTGAGCCCCACTCCCGTAGCACGGTGACCTTTCTCATTCCCTCCGTCTGCCATTACAACAGATCTCTCACTCAAATGGCCCCGTACCTGGGACCAGTGCCAGAACTGCAAACTCTTCTGAACTTTGCGTCGTTAAGGAAGCCGAAACATTCGAGATGAGACTTAGTCGATCTTCTTCAATGTGGGAAAAGAGCAAGCACTTTACTTTCCAGAAGAGTGTTTTATTTTTAAATATTGTTTTGATACTCCACGTCAGTAGTGCCCCCACCTACCCCAATTTACTGCCCTTTGTAAAGAGAAAGTCCATTTTGCGAAAGGATAAGGAATGAAGAAAACAAGGCTTGAAAGTGGGTGTTGGTGATTGTTTTCACTTTTTTAATTAGGGGGGGGGGAGTGTTCTTCTTCGTCAAGCCCTTTTCTCGTCCCTGCAAATGGGAGGCTTATCTCGTCAGCCCATGATTCTTTCATGGATTCATCTTGCTTGCATCCCTGAGCTTAGTGAAAAAAGGAGGGCATTCAAAACCTACTTTCGCCTGCGAGTGATGTAAAACCGAACATTGTAGTTCTCTAGGTTACATGAAGACAGTTTCCCATGATGAAATTGGTTTGTTGTATGCCACTGACAGACTGGACAGAGAAGAAGAATATCTTGTATTGGCTCAGCTTCCAGCAATGTTCTCCCCCCCCTCTCTCTCTCTCTCTCTCTCTCTCTCTCTCTCTCTCTCTCTCTCTTTTTTTTTTTTTTTTCTCTCTGATTTCGACGAATAGTCTGAATGGTACAGACTTCTTCCATGAGGCTCTTCAAGCGTCAAAACATTCCGGGAGACGTCGACTCTTGGCTTTCCAACCTTACGATCTCGGTGTGTCTTCAGTGTCTGCTTTCTCCTTAGATTTGTCCTTTCCTTACTGGTATGAAGCAAACGTGCCCTCTTGAGTGTAGCTATGTGAAGCCGTTTGTTTGCTCTGAAGGACATTTGTTGCCAGTTGTAGTCACCCTCCCAGCTTTCTTTTTTCTTTACTCCTCAAGAGCGAATGTCTCTCTTTCTATTGGAGTTCTATTTGATCTTTCAAAACTCAAGCTCCAGACAAATATTTTCTATTTTGTTCTGTTTCTGTCTGTGCGTGCAGTTTATTTGTTGTTTTTTTAAAGGTCAATGCAGTGTGTGGTATACTTGTCAGTGAGCTTAGACTTGAATGTTTGAAAGTGAAATTGGACAAATTGGTGCTTTTGTTTAATGTGGAATACAGCATAGAGAATTCACGTATGTCAAATGTTTGTAAGAATGCTTGAAAAAACAGCCCTTAAGTGCACATTTTTGTTGATTATTGCTGTTTTTATTGTTTTAATTATTTAATTATATTCCCTAGCTATGTCTTATATGTTTACTTCATTCTTTAACGTTTATTGCCATGCTTGTTTCATGATATCCAGTCATGCTATGTCCGGGTGGGAAATGCTTTTATCATGTTTCATCCTTACCTGGAAGGCCATTACCGTTGATGTGATTCTGTAACCCAATTATAGGTGTCCCAGGACCCACGACGGTCTTCGCTGTGAGGTTAAAGTCAGAGAGACCATAACAGAACCCGTCGGTAATAGTCCAGCAGATTTTCCGTGTACCTTGATGGCTATGATGATGAGAACGACGAATATCTTGATTATGATGATAACAATGACTGCAAAGAGAATGAGCCCCTCTGTCTGTCCCTGTTGCATGGCTACTGTGCTTCCCATCACTAATGTTTCAACATTTCCCCATATCACAATGTCCTCAACCTATTCACTTCGACTTTAGGCCTACCCATCTACCAAGTAATATATCTGCGAGGTTGCGATGAGCAATACTGATGAGCTGACACGTCACGTCCCCTTGAAACATGCATGCGTTTGATGAGGAGGAACGAGCAGCAGTGTTCACCTATTGTCCATTAAGTCCCGTGGAATGCTAATACTTTGGAGTCCTCTGAGTTACTGACATTGGTTGTATAATCGTTCTATGAAAGGACACACAAATCAATACGTCATAATCTTATTGCACTCTTTGTGCTGTTTTCGGGGACTCGAAAGTAATAGTAATATCGCCATCGCAACCAGCATGACAATATTTATCTCTTCTACTCATTGACACCTTTGGATATGGGTTTTTCTCCAGTGATACCTAACCTACAGTGTAGCTAGGAAAAGCTTTCGGTGTCTTTTTTAATCAATCTGTAGTGCTAAAGTACCAGCAAGCGTTCAGATCGCACAGGGAGACTACTGAACAGAATAACACAAACAGAAAAAAAATAATTTTTCATTGATAATCCAAAGTTGGTGATAGTGCAAGTACAGATCACAGTATAAGGAAGTAAGATGAGAAGAATCAATTTCGAAGTTTTGAAATGAAACTTCGCTTTGGATATAACGTTCAACGTGAAAACAGAAGATAATATGATAACAAGATGCCGAAGAAAAGCACTTCATAAAATTAGTATTTACTGCAAATTACCAAATTTTTCAACATTAAAAATGATTCAAATTACTAAAAAGAGCTCTCATAGTTTAAAATCGCTCAAATTACAGACGTCATATCCTCGGGCTCAGAAAATTATTTGTGCACATCCCACATCTCCAAATCCCTTGTTTGATCATCCCTCCCTCCTCATTCACCCGCCCCTCCTGGTTGTTTGTGATATTCTTTCCAACTCACGTCTTTCTCCAATATTTCAGCGTCTAATATTTCAGCCAGAGGCATCCACACAAGCGGGAATCTACCCTGTAGTCTCTTTGAACTTGGTGTGCTCACCTCTTTGTGTGTTGGTTGTTTATTGGCTATTGGCTTGAGTTTGTTTCTGTTAATTATCTGTTCCCACAATACAACTTCGTCTGTGCTACCTTCCATCACCCCTCCCGTCCCGGCGAGTGAGAGAAAAAAAATGATAAAACTCATTGACAGTTTCCACACGACTGTATTAATTGTGGAGTTGCGCCTGTTTCTCATTCTCTCGCTACTGCAGGTGCCCCAAGAATTATGACGGGAGTCGCTGTGAGAAGGAGGAAGCAGACTCTACGATCTATAAGCCTGGTATGGGGAAGCCCGGGTTGATACTCCGAGGTGGGCGGGGCATGGTGTCTTTGTGGCATTCTAGACTAGTGGATGATGTCCCTCTGATCGTCAACATCGTCGTAGTAGAACAAAGTTGCATTATTAACACTTACAGCCGAATCGGAATGGTTATGCCCCCTCGTTGCCTTGGCCTCGATTTATTTAGTTTTGACTCTCCATCCATTTGCTCGTTTATTGGTTTATTGTCCTCGCGTGATGCTGTTTTTCATCCTTCCCCACCTCCAAACCATTACTACCGTCCAAATAAAATTTGATTAAATAGCCTGTACTAAATCCCGCCCTGCCAATGCAAAAGATCGCTTCTTGTGCACAGGTTGTCAGCTGTAGGCTAGCGATGAGTCTAGCCATTCACGCCACGCCACATAGAAATCTTAGACGTCGTTACCATTTTGCTTGACCTCCCTACGGCGCTCTGGGGTGAACGTTGTTGTTCAGTTTACGCATTGGTTTCATTTTTCACTTACTGCCATCAACAACCATTCCCTCTAATATTCATCCTATTTCATGTGGTTTTTGTGAACGCATGGCAGCTGCTTAACATTGATTCCTAGTAAGTGGTAGCTTCTGGATTCAAATGTGAACTGTAGTTTATCCTACACTTGAGCTGAAATGGGAAAAGGGCTCTTTTTGACCCAGTTGAACAAAGGCTGATTCCAGGTATAGTTACCAAAGTTCACCGAACATGGATGTTGTTTTCAACAGTGATATACACACACCCCCTTCTTCCCCTCCCCCCCCCCCCCCCACAAAAGCACTAAATATATACATATAAAAACAGCACAGAAGCTGATTGGTAACTTTGTATAGCACTAAGTGCTTTCGTCATGCTTTTTAACCATGACAATTTAATATATCAACAATGAGACAGTGATCTTTAAATACCCATCGCTTCTCCCTTACCTTTGGTATCTTCGGCCATGATCTGTTTCTATCTCACATCGGTAAAAGCACTTACCCGTTAATTGCGCCAAAATCGACACGACGATGTTTCCATTGTAGGTTCACAATTCTGTATACAGTCGCAAAAATTTCGTCTGACCATTTATACAGATTTAGTCCACTTTTTATGATGAGGTTTTTCGTAGATTAGATACCTACCTCTAGCCAATCAGGTTAGGGTGTTGCTTTGAAATCTGTCGAGCTCCACCTCCAAGCGTGAAATCGCAGATAACGAATTGTCACCTGTCTCGCGAATTTTGCAAATCGGATATTGAGGCGCTGACGAAGATTTCATTTACTTCCATTACCCGTCCGTTGAAGTATAAGATTGTCTCAGATGGACGCCGAGTTGAGTGTTCTGCTGGGGAATATTTTTGTTATGAGTTTTCCGTCTTATTGATCGCGAGAAAGATGAAAGAATATTTAGCGTCGCTGTCGAGATTTTAAGGGACAACTTTAATCTTTCGGAAATGCGAACTTGGAAGGAGATAAAAATGTTCAACTCTATTTTTGAGTAGATGTAACAATAACATTGTCACTCTTTTTTCCTATTCTAAACTCAAAATCGATTTTTTTTTTAACCTGACCCAAATCCTCTGGGAACGTGTAAGTAAAAGATTCAAATGAGTCGCAACACTTCTTTCGAAGGACAGAAAAGAAATATTATAATTCACTGAATCTTGAACAACTGAGAAAATACAAAACAAAACTGAATGTAACGCGAGAGTCGAAGATGAAAATGAGAAGAGTCGTAAGAACGCTGTTATTCCCCATAATCTTTAATGATTGTGTCTGTACTTTTCAAGGTGTGTTATATCAACGGCGTAGCACCCGGCAGCAGCTGATCTAGTGATTGCCACGCCCCAAGACAACCAAGCCCCGCCCACCGCTGTATCCTCGAGTCTTTAGAAGGCTGGGGGTGGGCACAGATATTCTTCAACATGGCCTTCTCTCGAAATGTTCTTTGTTGGCTCTTTTCTTTACTAGAAGTTATCTTTTCCGTTTCTTTTTTTTTTTTTATTTCCTAGCAGTTTGCAGTTGAACTCTCATAGCCTACCATTCTGAAATACCGTGGTTAGCGACAGGGCTGTTGACTCTGATGGAGGTCTTTCTGTTCGTTTCGTTAACTTGCCTTCTTTTTAACATATTTTTAAAGACAACACTGTTGCTGTAAATCTACGCCCCAATACACCAATGTATATAACTTGTAATGATCAGAGCACATACTTGTATCAACGTCAGCGCTTTTTTTAGAAATTGCTGCTTGAGAAAATATGACAGCATAATAATATATATAATAATATATATATTGGGGTCGGGGGGGGGGGGGGGAGATATTTTGCCATCCTTATCATGGATGGTATTTTTTAACATGAAGGGGAATTAACCTACCGAGGAAGGCCGGATATCGTATACAATAATAGTTTCATTTGTTTTCACAAGTGCCTCCATCAGATGTCTCGTACAGTCATTCGCTGTTCTGGCTTTTTTTGGTGGTCGTCTAAGCTACCGTGCTGGAGTTTTTTGCTTAACTCTTCACCTTCAACTATCTTCCACGACACCACTAAGCTTGCTATTCTTTTAATAACAGACTTGGAATTTCGAGCTTGATTCTGATATATCTTGTTTTCTATTGTGAAACAGAGTGCATAACACGTGCATTGTTGATTAACGATTCAATCATGTATACTCTTGGCAACTTCATCACGCCCTGCCAAAAAATCCATTTCATCCTGTGTTCTATTTAACAACCATACCATTGCTTGTTCCGTGGAGTGTGTCAGGCGTGTGGTTTCACCAACTCCGCACTGGAATAAAAAATCGGTTTACTAAAATTCTGTGTAGCTCCCTGATGCTGACTGCATACACCATAGTATTATTATTATACCATTATAAACAAACCGCATATATAACAAACTACTAATAATATAACGCCTGTGTTGAACTTTGAACTCTTTGCAAAGACTTGAATTTTGTGCAGCCTGACTCTGAAACTCTGTAAAGAGATGTAACCAAAACGCTATCTTCTTCTCGTTCTTGTCCGTTTCAATCCAGTGAACAGTGGAATTCATTATGGCTCCATGTGTTTTAAAGACTAAGTGTCTGAACCTGTTGGTCAAAACCAATTATTTTAAAAGCAAAATTTGAATAAAAACGTAAATTGTTTGAGTGTCCCGTATCTGGACGATCCTGTCCCTGTCTTCTCAAGTAGTGAGAAATTGTGTCTTTTAAAAAAATGTATCATAATACCTCAATATTAAATTGTAATAGATACAATATCTGATTCTATCCCCTTTTCCTTTCCCCATGCTCTTGAATTTTAGCCCCACCCCCTTATCCACCCCCCCCCACTTTGTTCATATTCTTTCGAGTATTTACTGCACAGATGTGTGGATGTCTATCTTAACAACCCATGTGAACAAACACACTTATTCCCATCATTGCACTGCGCTGCGTCGCAAATAATATAGCAGCCTACTTTCGGCCCCTTGCCGTCTGTTTCGCTTTTCCCCGGGTACCTCTGTGCCCGTGCCCGCACCCCCCTATACCCTGCTTGTTTTGCCCCCTGATTCCTCTTTCAGACAACAGCGCAGCCCTGGCACGGATCATAAACGACGTATTTTCTTGAAAGTGGGTTGCATACTTTCACAAAATCAACAGGAACGGTTTGTCGAAAAGGTGGTTGGTTTGGAGGGGGGAGGGGAGGGGGGGGCGGCAGTTGTGACATATCGTGCACTGTTCGGTTGTGCATTTCTGTACACTTTAGAACATTAAGGGTATCAAATCCCTAATATGTCTAACTACTCATGCTTCCAATGTTAGAGTAAGCGTAAATGTAATCTGAACATTTTTCACTTTTTGATGGAATGAGGGAATGTATTTTATTGAAGGAGGGGAGGGTGGGGGGATCGTCACAAAACGGAACGATTCAGATTAAGGCAACAAAAAATTTTGTGAAAGTGTGCAACCCTTCAAGGCAAGAGGATGTTTTTTCCAGCAGGAGGCCTGATGTGCCGTTACTACCCAGCTTGCTTACCTTCCTACCTACCTACCTACCTACTCGCCTTTGTATCCGTCCACTTATCTAGCCACCATCCTATCTGCTTTCCTCTCCTGCTACAGGTGTCGCGAACAGTTTGCGGGGCATAGATGCGAACTTCTCGATGCTATCGGCGTGCGTGAAGACTATATGCGTATGTATCGTCCAAGAGACGTTTATGGCAGCAGGGAATTCATGTCAACTCAAATTAGATTATCTCATAATTTGCAGCTTCAGTTATAACAGATATTTCACGCTGAGTTGTTAGTTTTTGTAGAGGTTGTTTTTTTTTGGTCCATTTTATTTGGCTTTTAATTTTTCTCTTTTAAAAGCTATGCTCTAAACCTGGCAGTTCACTGAGTTAACATTTACTTATCATTTATTTTGTTAATCTCTTGTCTTTTATTTCTTTGCGCTATGAAACAGCATCAGTTATGCTCAGTCAGTGAGTGGGGTTCGACTATAAACTGAAGTCCGTACGTTCCTTCCCTCTCGTTTTCTCAGAGAGGAATATCAGTTAAAGCTCCTAGCTCGGTAAATTTTAACAGCTTTCTGTACGTTTAAAAGACGTAAAAGTTCTATAATAAACAAGAGAATAATATAGTGTTAATTTTAAAAGGTTGATATGTATTTCAACGATTCTACGCACTTGATAGGTAGCTAGTTCGCACTCTGTTAGCAGAAACCACCTGCACGTAGGTCTGTTTGACACTTCACTTTACAAAATAGGCTTCACCTTGAACCTGTTTTAGAAAGGTACATCTTACCACCTGGGAGAAACGCTTAGCCTCTAACATTTTAACAAGCTTGACTCTCGCCTAACTCGCTCTTGCTTAATTTTAGCTTTCTTTTTCATTTTCTTTTTTTTCTGTTTGATTATTTTTCGTTTGTTTGTTGGGTTTTCCTTTACAACTATACCAATGTATTAGTAGCCATAACATCCTGATTTCTATCTGTCTCCCCCCTCCCCCCTTCTTCCATCTCTTCTTCCAACCCGCCCCTTTTTCTACCCCCTCCTCTGTCTGTCTGTCTGTCTGTCTGTCTGTCTGTCTGTCTGTCTGTCTGTCTGTCTGTCTGTCTGTCTGTCTGTCTGTCTGTCTGTCTGTCTGTCTGTCTGTCTGTCTGTCTGTCTGTCTGTCTGTCTGTCTGTCTGTCTGTCTCTCTCTCTCTCTCTCTCTCTCTCTCTCTCTCTCTCTCTCTCTCTCTCCCTCACACACACACACACACACACACACACACACACACACACACACACACACACACACACACACACACACACACACATTCTTGTTCAAATATGACTTGCGTGAAAGAGGAAAATTCCGCAGCTACTAAAGAGGTTCCATTTTTCTTTTTCACCCAGAAACATGAAATATTATTGAAAATTACTTTAGAAAAAAGCATGCACACTTAAATGAAGACAGGATCTACACACAGCAACGAGATAAATATTTTTATACACTAATTCCGCAGCTGCTAAAGAGGTTCCTTTTTTCTTTTTCACCCAGAAACATGAAATCTTATTGAAAATTACTTTAGAAAAAAGCATGCACACTTAAATGAAGACGGGATCTACACACAGCAACGAGATAAATATTTTTATACACCAACTTTTCAATACAGATCACTGAAGAAACAATGTTGATGCTCAATTATTAATTGCTAGGAAAGCCCCAAAAGCGTATCATTTGTTAAAAGTGTCATTAGTATTGTCAATCGTCTAAGTTCTTCTTGTATCTCTTGTCGAGTTGTTCTTTGCGGCTCAGACTAGGAATATGGGTGGTTGGCGGGTGCTATGGTGTGGTTTGCTCCTTCTGTCCTATCAAATAATTAACGTCTTTATCCCCCCCTTTTTATGTAATCTTCGACACTTCTACGGCCTACGTATGTTAGTGCCGTTAAATGCTTACTAAAACAAAAAAGAATAGGCACGCGCTTGGTAACCAGGGCGTGATTGTATATCCAGTGGGAAAGGTTTGTGAATGAGTCACAAGACGGCGATCTGTGTCGGAAAAGTTAGGGTGGGGAGGGGAGGGGGGAGGGGTGGCGCAAAGTAAGAAACGATTCACATACTCCTGATATAATGTAATATCAAATATAAAAAGAAACAGTACACATTAGGTTATGATAACTGACAGTTCAAAATCCCAGCCCTCCCTTCCCTGCCTTTGCTCACATATACACACACTTTAAAAAAATAAAAGCGAAACGCACAAACCCTCACACACATAAACACACAAACAAACAAACACACACACACACACACACACACACACACACACACACACACAAAGGCACACACACACATACACACACACACGCATCCACACGCTCAATTACGCGCAAATACACGCTCATACACCATATCGTATAAACAAACACACCTAAATACACGCACTTGAAGGGGGAAAAGCTAAAGAGATTGCATAAGGCGAAAACTGATTCTAGTCATTTGTATTAATCCAGAACACTATGAAAATATTTTTTCGAAGTAAACTGAATATTAATGATGAGGAGCAAATATACCTCGAGTAGAAGCTCGAAATTTGACAATTCAGCTGCAGTACGGGAGTGTAAGACTCGTGAAGGGGTTCTATGATAGACAGAAGAACTGAGGAAATATGGGATGGAGAGGGGGGATGAATGTAGTCTAGTCTGGAGTTCAGAGTCTGCTGAGAAATTCTGGCGTAGCCACGCCACTGTGATGTGTTGATAGATCCCAGTTTTCCCCGGAATCTATTTGCAGTAATGCGAGGTTAGAATTCGAACGAAAGAAGAAGTAAATACACGCGTGGATCATTATGGAGACCGTGCTTCGGAAAGGTCAAACTCGTTTTGCCTTCCAGGAAATACAAACACAACTGCCAGCCATTCCCTTGCCTCGTGTGCAGTTGAGTAAAGTCTCTGCAGTCCTCCTTCGCTTTGTGAGATCTTTGAGTGGTTCCGCCATACAAGTTAACAATAACATTACGAGGCTGCTCTTGAAAGTGCCTCTGATATAATATTCTATTCTTACCAGTTATTTCAAAATTACTTTTGCAATGATGAACCAGTACTACGCCTAAGGGAGAAAAGAAATTGCATAAGTTTGTAATGGTCAAATATATTAAACCGAAGAATAACCCCACCCCCACTGGGAAAAATGCTAACCCAAAACAACAACAGCAACTGCAACAACAACAGTAACAACAACAGTAACAACCACAAAAATAGACCCCCCCCCCCCCCAGCACAACCACTACCAGTTTCACGCCACCACCAACAACAATCGCTACAACAGCACCAGAAACAATCAAACATAGGATGATATTCAGAAATGTGAATTGAGTTTATTCATGTTTGAAAATCATTCTCTCGCTGATCTAACGTTAGTATCTTTACTTTAGCGAGATATACTGTCAAAACAATTGCAAATACGACTAGTGGCTTTCCTAGCTTATCGGCAATGTCAACTCAACAATAGGGCAATCTGACGCGTCAGCAAAAAGAAAGATCCTAGATGTGTGCATATAGACCAGCTGTATGAGTACAGACCTAGATCTACATCATAAGCATTGCATTCTTTCCTCCCTTTGGGTTTCTCTGGGGTTTTCCAATGTTCTCCTTTTTGTTTTGTTTTGTTTTGTTTAATTTGGTTTTGTTTTTTCCCCAAGACTATGTCAATCATTTATGATTAGATTTACGTAGTGTGAAATGTTTTTGTTCGGATTTTTAAGCGGTCAGAGTAGAACTGACCAAATAGTATGTTCTGCAAAAAAAAATTACTGTTTTGTAAAACATTAGTAACACTTCTGTATTTTGCCAAGCAATATAATTGACCTTTTATTAAACATCTATTTTTGAGAGTCTCATACACCTTGAAATGCATTATGTAAATTAAACAACATCTTATGGGCCTGTCTTAGCATAATAATGTGTTGTCATCAACGCATTAGAACACGACACATTCTTAACTCCACTGAATGCGGAATGAACTTTGCTTTGTTTGCCTTGTGACTGGCTTCTATGATTGACTTCTTAACAGCATGCCCTTCTATTTCAGGCCAAGCGACACTGCAATTTGAACGTACGCTGATCACCGTCGGCATAGTAATTGCAGTTCTCGTTTTAATCGTCATTTGCATTGCATCTTACTTCCTTGCAAAGTGAGTCTTTTTTAGATGTAGCACCGTGGTAATGTGCTGGGTGCTGTTTATTGCCTCCACCTTAGCCTATTTCCATATCAATGACCATGTTGAATTGCAACATCGCCCCCTCCCGCCCCTCCCTCTCTGTCTCTCTTTCTCTCTCTCTCTCTCTCTCTCTCTCTCTCTCTCTCTCTCTCTCTCTCTCTCTTCTCTCTCTCTCTCTCTCTCACTCTCTCTCCCCCCCTCTCTCTCTCTGCTTCTCTCTTTATCTATCTATCCATCTCTCTCCTTATCCATCTCTCTATATATTTATCTATTTATCTGTATATCTATAGATCCACCTCTCTCTCTCTCTCTCTCTCTCTCTCTCTCTCTCTCTCTCTGTGTGTGTGTGTGTGTGTGTGTGTGTGTGTGTGTGTGTGTGTGTGTATCTCTATCTATCTGTCTCTCCCTCATTCCCATTCTTCTTTATCAGTGCTTTGACTCTTCCGTTCCCCTTCAATGATCATTTTGTACAAACAAATTATTATGTTACACTCTCGTTATATCAGATGATTTACGCCCAACATTTTGCCTCAGGCTAAATACGGTAAAGCTGTACTAGGTAGACGACGTGTGTAGTATGATGACGCATTTCAACAAAACTTAAATCAATTTTGTTCCTGAAGAAAAGACATATTATTATCATTATTATTATGGGCAGTTTTAATTGTGGAGAAGGGGGTGCTGGTTTGTCACGAACCAAAGAATGTACGGTCCAAAAACAATACTGTCGCCAGTATCATCCTTTGTAATAACTTCTCTGACTTGTTAAAAAGTTTTATGGTTGACTTTTAAGGGAGAACGTTAGGTAAGAGTAATGTGTGAGTGGGGAAAAAAGATATATAATAAATATGTTTATTGATTTCTTGTGAACAGCAAGCCGTTTTGCTTTGGGGGGGTTGCTTTTACGTTGTTTCCCTTTAAAATGCCACTGGGATCAAGGCGATGCATGTGCAAATCGTTTTGATTTGTTAACTACGAACGAGCATGAGTTTGAGCAAAAAAGAATATTTTGAGCATGAACGCAAAATTAACTCAATGGGTTTTCAATGCCCATCAAAATCACTGCATGTCTATGATGCATCTTGCTACCTCATGTGGAGAAACCCTCAAAGACGCAAATTTCATTGGGCATTTTGACCTAACATCATGAGGCATCGTGAGCATTAATTTGTCGGAAACAGAAACAGATGCTCGCACTTTTACACTTGCAACTCAAAACGGTGCCAGTTGTCTCGTATTTAGTCGTTATTACACTGAATTATGATGGAATTTTATTTTAGATTCGCAAACACATTTCTGGATGTAATGAAGAAATCGTGCGTATAAGCAAATTGTGCTGATTCTTTCCTTTTCGGGGGGCAGGGGGGAGGGGGGGTAGGGTGTGATAGCTTTTATAGTAATTCATATTTCTTTTTAAAAAATTGAACAAGTTGTCTAGAAAGGATTTCAACATCAAGTGACATTATAATTCTCTTCTCAAAACATTTGACAGATTTTTTTTAATGCGCCCTGTACGCACGGTTTATCAAAGATATTTGCATCACACTTTACCACGGTGTAAGGAGCATCATTAGAGAGTTTGAAAATGTCACTGATTGCTATAGACGACAAGATTGACACCCGCACCGTATCATTGTGTCATCCGATCATTGCCTTATTGTCCTATCACTCCATCGTTGTACCATCATATCACCCTCTCATTCTGCTGTCCTGTCATCGTTTCATCCTATCATTTTGTCGTTATTTCATCTTATTATCCTGCCGTCTTTTTATCCTATCATCATATCATTGTATTATCTTATTTTCCTATCATCCTATCGTCCTATCACTCTACTGTCTTATCACCCCATCGTGCTATCATTCTATAATACTATTGTTTTATCACCCTATCACCCTATCATCTTATCATCCTATCACCAAATCACCTTATCATACTATTGTCCTATCATCCTATCGCTGTATCACCTTATCGTCCTATTGTCCTATAATCCTATCGTCCTATCACCCTAAAATCCTATCATCCTATCATCCTATTGTTGTATCACATTTACAGGCGGCGCCGTGAGGAGTTCAGGAGGCGGCAAAAGAGCAAGAAGAATTCCAATGCACGTGCTCGGGCTGCTGACGGTGTAGCGGAAGCACACGCCCCGGCAGGCAACAGATACCCGCCGGTCAGTTTTCTTTAGCCTGTCTACACTGGCTACTGCTGGTGGATTTGTTAGAGTTTGACGCCCTTTTAGACACGGTGATGATGATGATGGTGATGATGATGATGATGATGATGTTGATGATGATGATGATGATATTTATAGGTCATAACTGTTTTAATATCTGCTTTGTACAATTATGATGATTTAAAGTGATTGGGGCGTGATAGGAAATCAAGTTCTGTACTGTTGTTGCGGATGGTCGTGCAGTCACGTTCTGTGAATGGTCATCCGTGCTCAGCTGAAATTTTAAGAGGACCTTTTCTCTAAAGTATCTAAACAGAATGAAGTATTTGCCTTCTTATTGTAATCGCTCCTCATGTTATTCTTCCTATCGGTGGCTAGCTCATCAGATGTACTAAGCTAAACGTATTGATTGAAAAAAAAATGGCAGTTTCTTAATCGGTGATATTGGTTACATGTGCTCAGGAAATATTTTGTCGAAACTCAAGAAATGTGCACCAAAAATACGATGCAGGTGCCATATTTTTTAAAGAATTAAGCTTTTTTTTTCACTCTCCTGAAAAATTTGCTCCCTGAGCTTCGTAGGCTATATTTGAATAGCCTGCAATGATGTGGTTCAAATCCGATATTAGATTATATATTTTTTTAAAAACTAAACTCTCAGACTTATTTCTTTTCAACGGACCTATCTCTATTCTTCCAATCTATATGTTTATCTGACTGGCATTTTAAAACCCTACAAGGACAGGGCTTTATGTTCATTGCTCTTGACAAAAAAGTTTTACTCGGATTTCGAAGAAAATGTCAGTTAAAATTAAACGTCCCTGTTTTGTTTTGAAATGGTTAAATTGACAAGACTCATTCCTTGAACTCTTTAAAGTATATCTTATTATCTTATTGGGGGATGATACAGAGTGATAGTAGTGTATGACAGAGGTTGTAGTGATGGCCTTCGTAATGGTAGAAAGTTGGTAGATCAAGAGGGGTTGTTTTTTTTCTTAAGTGGCTACCATAGAGGCTTGGCCGTAGATGATTAATTGCGGTGAAGAGTGTTTTCGGGGTTTAATTGTGCGTGCGTAATTTTGAAACATCTTCAACTTTGATTCTCTTCCTACAGGGTTCCTCTGTTCTGACAGCAATCAACGTCTCCGCATCGCCCAACATGACAAATTATCCAGCCGGCCAGCCTCTGAACATGTCCTTTCTCTCCCACCACCAGCCGCCCACTGGCGTGGCTTCCCAGCCTGACGGCTCAAGCATCGGCCAACCACCTCAAGAACCACCCACTCTTCGCTCTGGTCCCCGGACGGAATCAAATAACGACATGATGACTCGTGGTCGCCTTGTGGCTTCTTCCTACGACAACTGCGAGCCGACCTCTCCGCTCTGGAAAGAACGGGATCATTCTGTGAGAGAAAATCCAGAGGAGCAGGTGGAGAGTTTTGAAATGCAACCGATTAGCAAGATGAAAGAGCCCACCGAACTTGAAAATGGTTTTGCTGATGCAAGCACGCGCCAAGAGCCCAGCGACTCTGTCGATTTACCACCCCCACCGCCATATCAAAGTCCTCCTCCACCCACTTCCTCATCCTATCCCAGCTTTTCGCCACCGAAGCAATTAGAAGGACATGGCCCTGTAGGCGACCGGTTCAGCCCCACTTCCCACATCCCATCATCATTCCCATCCCCTCCTGCCAGCGTTCGCGATGACAGCTCTTCCAGGGAGGATTTGGACACCGCTACTGCTGCTGTTGTTAAGCCTTTGCTGCAAGTCGACCACCAGCTTGGGGCCGAGCAGCCGTCTAATGACCACCTTCCTGACGCGGAGATGGACGCGGTCACTTCCCCTAAAGGCCCCGGCCTCAGTCGACGGCGGCGGGACGAAGACTCAGGCACTGGCTACGATAGTGACAACTGTGAGAAGGAGCGTCTGCTGCTAGAGAGCCCAATTCACAAAGGCCCTCCTCATTCACACACATATCCTAAACCTAAGATGAACGGTAAAGGGCCTGGACTGTGCATTGACAGTGACGACGACGACGACGACGATGACGACGACGATGATGATGTGTCAGAAGTGCCGTACAAACCACACAAAGACGAATTACACATAAGTGAAGAGTTTCTGAATCTTTCAGAAGAAAACCTTATTGGTAGTTCCTTCAACAGCATCCCGACCCCCTCGAGACAGGCAAGCTATGACGGTGGATACAACGATGGGACGATCCCTCTCCTGTATAACATGCGGCCGGAGATGAGAAAGTACCAGAGCGAAGATGTATCCCCACGCCTCCTCAGCAAAGGTCGTGCCTTAGGCTTAGAGCCGGGCCGCAGTCGCTCTATGGACAATCCATCTACCTCCGACAGACCCTCGGGTCATGTGAGCGGGAACAGTTGTGGTCAGATGAACAGTACATTAGCCGGAAGTCCAGAAGAAGAAGACTACGATAACTTGCCCCTGCAGCTGCGAAAACTGGAGAACCCTTTCGACCCCACAGATGACGACGACAGTGCCCCGTGGGATGTGAACGAGTCCAGTCAGCCAAACTTCCAGAATCTCAGCGAAGAGGAAAGAGATAGGATGAACAGACTCAAACATGTGCGTCCTGAACAAGAAGCCATACCAATATAATAAGAAAATGCCATGTACAGGAAACTCGGGGTGCACGTGAGGGGGTGGGGTGGGGCAGGTTATAAGGTGTATTGATGCCACAGACAACTGCCTCCTGTACAGCATATCCCAAGGAAATGTCCGAATGTTAACGACTGATTATTATTTCGAAAACACAAATTTCCTCTTTACAGTCTGGCATACATTTTAATGCTGATACAATGGTTACTTTTGTTGGCCTACATGTCTGGTTTTAAAGAAAAATCATTATTGTGATTTTGTTAGAGCTGAAACACGAGTCATGTGTCATGTTAATGCATAATATTTTTTCAGTATCGCAAGTCATTTCCAAGGCTGTTTCTCTATCTCGACAATATTGTCCTATCTTGGGCCTATATTTAAGGCCTGTGAGTCTTCTACACACTCTGTACAAACGCTCAGAACAGTTCCAAGTTGTATACTATTGACTGTGGATCCAGACAAATGTAGGACATAAGATATAGAAGAAAAGGGCCTGAATTGATGCAGTGTACTGCAGTATTTCACCAGGGTTGGCGTTCTTCTATACTCGGTGAATGAATGATTGGATGGATATCATGGCTATAATGAGATGTGATCATTGTCTCACTCCCACATCTGACTAACACTTCTGGTCGAGAAAGGTTGTGACGAACTGGTGCTAGTTCATTTCCGTGAAGTAGTCAGATTATGGTGATATTCTTCGCGCACACACTAATCACAAGGCGCACTGTCTCTGAACAGAAATGTAGTAAATAAGTTAATAACTGTAGGGTGCTGGCCTAGACATATATGACGAAAGTAGCAGCCATCTTTATTCATTTTTAATGTACACTATCATTAAAATCAATTGCTTCACTTATTTACTCGCTACTGATGGGACTTTTTAATTTTGGATCTGAGAAAGGTTTAAGAATGCTCAGAAAGTGGTTTGTGGAGACTTGGAGAAGACATTGTGTCAGTAGCAAGTGTATAAGAAAGTCAATATGTCAGTATTTGGTCTCCTCTTTTACAAGTAAAATGTATCTTTCATGAACAATTGTTGTAAAGGTTTCAAAGTGAGTTAAAAATCAAAGGCTTTCCAGGTGGTTAATGTATTACTTCTAACAAGCTAGGGACTTTGATGCTAGACACCAAAGTGATGCTGAAAAGGATGTGTGTTTAGGTGATTTATTCATCTAAACCTTTCCTACACTGACCCAAGGTTCATTAATTTTGTTTTGCTCTCAAAACATTAATGGTGATTTCTCCTTAGTTTTGGAGTATGAAGGATAATACGTGTAGTTGAAAATTTTCTGCACCCTTATGGCATGGCTCTGAAATATGAATTGACGATGGTCACCAGACACTGGAATATGGGAAAATGCATTACTTCTGTTGGAAAACAAAGGCTCTCTTTACTATGTTAAATGTGTGATGAAAACTGTGATGAAATATTGTATAAAGAGGCTTCTGAGTTATCATAGCCCCATCACCCAGAGAAAGTTTTATTTCTACTTTAGGCTTGCTTTGTGACATGCTTATGGAGCATGCTGCAATTCATTCAAGAGAAGCTGTTGTTGCCTCATTATTGTGCACACTTCGGAGAAAAAAATCTGTTGTGCTTCAGACAGGTAGCAAAGTGGGCATCATTTCAGTCTTTAACAGGGGAAAAACAAATTTTTATGGTAATTTTTATAGTGGAGCCAAATCATTGTCATTGTCTATCACTGCAAGAGGAAGTGTTAAATTCAGGTATTTGAATAACTTTAAAAAAAGAAGGCAACTTTTAGACAAAAAATTTTCAGATAAAAAAAAATATTATACGTAGACCTGCATTTAATGTTTTCCAAAAGCATAGTAGTGCTGTATAATAATAATCTGTGACAAAATTTTCCAAAACAAAGTTATTTGATGAGCATTTTATACTTGTATTTCAAAATTACTCAGAAGTATCTGTTACTTCATTATTGGAGTATTTTATGTCATGGGCATTATCTGTGATTAAGCTGTACAGGTAAGTTCAAATTATTTCAAGTTGGGCTTTTTTAACATTTAATGCTGAGATATATGTATTTAATATTTCAAACAGCAACTTTGCTGGCGGTGTGTCATAAAGCCTTTGGTTCTTTGTGGTCTAACCCTCTGCATTTTGGGGCTGTTCAATCAAATTCACTGGTTTCAGAGTTTTGAGTTGTGGCTTTTTCTTTTTTGTTTTCTTTGCAAGCTGAAGAGGGTTTGGGGTGGAATTTCTTTTCTGTTGTATTTTATAAATTTATTTGAAATTCTTTCTTCTTGCCAAGAGGAAATCCTTCGTAGTTTCTTACACCATTTCAGCATTTTGAAAAACAGGGTGAGAATCATGGTGAGTTTCATTGTGCTAACTTTTCCTTCTTTTGTCTTCTCTGACAGGAGACGAAATGCTTAAAAGCTCTAGATGAATATATTCTGACTTAAGTCAGGTTTCTTTTAAAATTTGTTTTTTCACTCATTTTCATTTGCATTGAGCCATATGAGTCAAGTAGTAAAGAATAGTAAATATAGCCTGAATTAGATGCAACACTGTATCTGTGTATCATTACAATGTAATAATAGATGTGCATTTTGTCAAACAGTGTGTCCATTTATCTTGTCATGATCTTGTTTGTTTTTGTAATATTTGTATACTTTTAGTCATGAACAGTTGTGATTTTTACTGTTATTATAATCTGTATAACATAATAAATGCAGACATCCTCTGTGAAAGAAAACTACACTTGACCTGTCTGCCATGATTGTTATAATGTAAACAGTCAGGTGTTGTTTGTTTTTTTGGTTTGTCTTTGTTTCTTTTTTAATAAATCATGTTGTGATCTGAATTCAAGTCATAACAAAGAGTTGTCATTGTCCATACTTGAATTATCTTCAAAGTAGAGTGATCATGCTCCTTGTGAATACCCATAAATCACCCACACATTATTTTTGTTTTTATTCCATTGGTCAAGATGCTGACAGGAGAGTTAGGTAGAATCTACTCTTCTATGTTTCTGTTATCAAATGATAGTCTCAAGTGCAGTGTTCACATAGCATGACATTCAGCTGTTGACACCCTGCCTTCCCCACCCCTTCCCCGTACTCTTTTTTTTTTTCACCTTTGAATCCATGCCAAAATGCCTCTTGTACTAGTAAGCTTCATGCAAAAAGTGATAATGAGTGCACATCTGGAAGTCTCTTCATGGCTATTTATTTGTTTTATAAAGGATGATGAGAGGAGAATACAAAGAATATTTATTTATTGCTTACTCTTGTATCTTGTTTCTCTATTTGACTGCTTATAGTGAAAGCTCTGATCCCTGCTTTCATATGGTAGGCCCACTGCTGTCTTGATGAGATTATGCAAATTATTGAAAGTATTTCCATTTCCAAAACTTTCTGTGTGTCAATTTTTGTTGCCTCATCCGAATACAAAATTTTAAGATTTAAAGTGAGTTTTACAGTTAAGTTTACCAATACATGATTTAATCAGATTGTACTATAGGCTCATTAACTTAAGATTTTGATAAATGAAGATACCCAGCTAGTGAAGATGTTTACAAGTAACTGCACTTTTTTAAAACAAAAGAAGAACTGATTCATTTCTAGATTACCTTCCACTCTGTCATTGTCTTGTGTGCATTTTGTATTCTATGGTTGAATCAAGATTATGTTAATATTTGTGAAATTAATGTATTTGTCCATTTTTCAGTTGTTGTTTTTATTTGTTCCTATTGACTGAACATAGAACAAAGCACTGCCATTATTTTTGTATGAGCTGCTTCATTTGTGACTTACATTTTATTCGGTATGTACTATGAAGGTTTGCATTTTTATTTACTTTTTGTAGTGTCATATTTTGTTGCAAGGCTATAAAACAATGGCAGATTTACTTGTTGCCTTGAGGCTTTTTTCATGCTCTTTATGTACTAAGTTTTTAAATTCAATAACACAAACTACAAGCTTCACCACATAACTGTATGTTCCTTATATTCTTAAATCATTTCGTATTTCAATTCATACCATTTCCATTTTCATTGTCATATTTATAAACATAAATCTAGTTTGCAATGTTGTTGAATATGAGTAACATTTATATTATACTATCATTCCATCACTGAGCTCTGGTCTAGGAAAGTAAGTACCGCCATTGTGTCATCACTGTCAGTCCCAAATGGCCAGGCTCTTTCTGCAGTTGTCCCCCTTTGACCCCATTCTTTATCTCTTTATTGATGGCATTGGACGAATTGCTTTCAAAGCTTTTCCACCCGTAAACAGAGAGATTTTTCAGTCCAAAGAAAGTGGAGTCATAAAATTTAAAATACCAAAGTCAGTCAATGTCACCCGGAATTTTTACAAATAGGTTGGCCTTTTTTAAGCAAAATCTTATTATGAGGAAGTTGCCATTTTATCTGGGCAAGCGAGGGTGTGGCAGTGAATATGGAGTGAAGTCAGGGCAATGTTGAATTTTATTTGAACATTAGTAAACTTAAGTGGGAGATGAGCAAGCAAGACGTACAAATATATAAATCAAAGTGAACAAACCATCTAAGCACATATTCATAGATCAGTACATCATAGCAGCAAAATTCACTCTCTTATTTTGCCCATTGCTTCGATTTGCAATAAGAGGAGGCATTTCCTATTCTTGTTGATATCAATTAGAAAGCCCAAGGTGAAAGTGTAGGCCTATCGCTTTTCTTTGCTTCTCAAAGCAACATGAATGCCAAAGCACTAGAGAAATAAATGTACACATCGACTGCCAAATATTTTCAAGAATCTCAGCCAGCATCTTAACTTTTTTCTTGTCGACCATTTTTCATCTTTTCTTCTGCATAATATACAATAGGCTGGCATTATTCACATAAATATAAGCTACTCCTTGTTCATTGCCCCTATACCAACACCAGTAAATTCATGGCCTAGCAGTTACAATCAAAATTTAAATTTAAAACATAGAAAAGAAAACTTGTGTTTCACAGTAGCCTAGCTTGATCGATTTCTGCTGTCCACATAATTATCCAGGACATGCACCATTACTTTCATTAAGAGTATCAAAAATTTATGTTATGTACTGCGTGCAAGGACAGACTTTTTCTCCCACACTGATAATATTTTCAACAGGACAAGACTATGGAAATGAGGACATTTAGGTACTGCAAAGGTTTATGGGGTTTGAATGCTTACTAAACATCAACACAAGTACAAAGTCAGCCAAATTCAGTCGCAAGAAATTACTCAAAGTCAAAACTTTCATGATTATATGTACATTCATTCATACTCAAAATCAAGATGTATACAGATAGATTCACACAGAGAGTGGCTTTAACTAGCTTTTCAAGCTACTTAATTAACCCTGTATTTTATCTCTTCTAAATTGTCAAATATTTTAAAACTTGGTTTTCTTTCAGTCGCCAATGTTTTCTGTCACTTAATGAAGGCCAAACCCTGCAAGTTTCATAGACCAATACGGATATTGCCAAATATCAATTTCAAAATTGTTTAACAGAATTGAGCACGTTGTCTACTTAAAGGCTTCACTCCATGTCTTGCTACAACATTTTGGTTCTCTAACCACACTGTGAGATTCTTTTTAAGTGGCTTTTACTCATCTATTTCCACTACTGTTGTTTTTATTACTCTCTTTTGCATTAATCTTGAGAGAATACTTTCTAAATTGCTACTGCCTGTTGTTCCTTTTTTACAGTACTGATTAGATTGCCTACTATTTTGTTCCCTTTGCGAGTCAAAAGATGCTGCGATGTTGTTGACTGACAGATACCCATACCATCAACTTCAACAGTGGCTATTTGGAATTATTTTCTCTTTGTGCTTTTTATCCTTTAGAAGTACATGTATTTAGGGCTTGCTATCAATGTAATTGCAGAGCATAGTCAACTGTAGATTTTTTTTCATTTCATTCTGTGCTTGTATTTGTGATTTGTGCACATTTGTTGTTTTATTTTGGACCCAATCAGAATAAAGTGTACAAAGACAGTCAAAATTATTTATTTCACTTCATTGATCATAGTTTTATCCATGTTCCTATGTACATCATTCTTCATTCTTGTTCCACATTCCAGTCTGCCAGAGCTAAAAAGTTGTTCTGAGGTGTCCGTCTTTGTTCATTATTTGTGTGTATCAAGACCTTGTACTTGTAATATTTTTTCTAAAATGTGAAACATTTGTCCTGGTGTTGCAGACAGTTGAGTTATTTATAATTGATATATGTGAAAATAATTATTTATGACTGGTGATTAAGCTTGTGTGTTACAGAATGCTGGAAGTACTGTCCATTGTGAAAGATTGCTATTTTTCTGAATACTATATTATGTTCATTTTGTTTCCAATCTTTTCTTTAGTAATAGTAGCCTACAAATCCAAGCACTGAATGTTTTTAGGGCTTTCAAGTGGCCATGACATAGTTTTGGGGTTTTTTGTTTTTAGATCAGGGGGTTACCCAACAGTATCTCTTAGAATGAGTAGCCAAAGTGAATGTTACTGTTGCATTAGTAAAGTAATATGTGAGTTTCCCAGTTTCATTAGATGTGTTGCAATGAGTAGTAGGCTACATACACATTTATTTTTCTTGAATTCTCTGTACAAAGTTAGTGATGAATGGCATTGTCTAGGGCCTGAATTGTATAAATGAGCACATGAATGAGTGCAAAATGAAATAAGCGGTAAGTATTCTCTTATACTCTATCAGAAAGTACTTTCATCAAGATAGGGAACAGTCAATTTATTTCTAGAAACCAACCTGGAGTAGAATAGTCTATACTTAAATAATATGGTTAAAGTAAAGTATAGCTACCATTTTGAACAATTTGACCTAGTGCGCAACATAGAGGGTTGCCATGGGGGGTCGCAATAGCTCTGCAGCTGCTCTTGTGTATGGCAGAAGCAGAAAACTGTTGGATGTAGGCCAATGGTTCTTCTGTCTTATTCTTCTTGGTTCCTTTTGTGTTTGTTTCCGTGTTGGTGAGAAAATATTTAAAAATTTTCCTCCTGTAGTGACTTTTGATTATTTTTTTTTTTTCAATGGAGGGAGAGTATGCAAGGGGGTATTTGTAAAGTGCAAGGCTGTTAGCAAAAACTAAGATGCTGTATATAGCATTTCAACAAACAATCAATATTTGCAGACATGGTTGGCTACTACCCCATACAAGAAAACCACGCGTGAGTTTTATATAATACTGGAATACTGGAATAAATTTTAGATTTTGATAATACCTCACCACCACTTGAAAAGAAACTGAGACATTTGCAGACACAGAAAGTACGAAATCAGTGGCAATGTCATTGCTGCTACTTTAACTTTGTTGGCTCTTACCGTTTTTTTAAGGTTTTGTTGTTGTGTTATAGGTGTGCCTTTATTAAGCAAAGCTGTTTGTAGAGTTTTGTGTGTGTGTTTGTGTGTGTGTGTGTGTGTGTGTGTTTGTGCATGTGTGTGTGTGTGGTGTGTGGTGTGTGCTTGGACATTTGCTTGCTCTCATATAATGTATGTGTGTGTGTGTGTGTGTGTGTATGTGTGTATGTAAGTTTGTGTGTGTCTGTGTGTTTCAGTGTGTATGTGAGTGTTAGAGAGAAGGGAAGAGAGAGGGAGAGGGATAAAAGTGTCTACTCAGTCTGTTCCTGGTCGCTCAAACATTTAATTCTTTTGTCTTTCTTTTTTAAAATAAAAATTTGTTTTGCTATCCTATTGAAGATAAAATACCTGGTGTATTTTAGGTCCTTTCTGCATTGCAACTCTTGTGCATGTCATTTACAATAGAGGGTGGGGGCGAGATGTAGGACCTACTCGCAAACAACATTGCTTCTCTGTAGCCTACTATAATCACAAAGCTGGTTTCTCTAGATGGATAATTTAGACATGGAAAAGCTGTGAGTTTGGGAATGAGACGGGCAGGGGAAGACCATCCATAGCAAACCCCCTGTGAAATTGGCCTTAAATGTAAAAAGTTAATGAGGATGGATTTATTTTGAAATAGAAAATATATTAATTCAAGTCTTGTTTTGCTTTCTTGGTAAATGCAGATCCAAATGTATATGATTATGTGCCGAAAGTGGGATGGATGGTTTGTTACTTGCTGTATTATTATTTTATAAACTGGTGTTGATGAGTTACTATTATCATCCTGTGATGATGTTTTTGTCGCTGTCTGCCTACCGTGATAGTGCTGCAATATCACAAATGGAATTTGTTTTTGTCTTTGTCATTCTTCCTTTTTCCTTAAGTCTTCTAGTTCTTAGACTGCCCAATTAGACTGAGTTAATTTGTTTTTTTCCAGGTGTTGCAACAAAGAATGTTTGATGGGTAATTAGGCCTTTGATTGTCTCATAAGAAAATAGATGTCAGAATGAAAACAGGGTCTGTGATTTTGTTTATGTTGTTAAGCTCTAATAAATAACTTATGCATGTTAATCAGTATGCTATGCATAATTGTTTGGTATTGTTGATGAAGATGTAATTGCATTTCTTGGGTAAAAGTTTAGCATTCATTGTATTGTTATTTATGTTTTTGTTACTGTTTTTGTCTTTGTTATAGGGTTGTTTTTGGGTTTTTTCTTGCTCATGAAAATATTGTATCTGTTCATTCTTATTAAAGCTTCTCGAAATTAACTTTTTGTTTTCTTTGTTCATTTATTACATGTATGTTTATGCTTAATCTTTATAAACTAATTTTTTAGTTTATCTCTATTTCCTAAGGAGACCTAAGTTTCTGAGTGCTCTAGGGTCTTCTAGGGTAACAGTAGGCCTACAGATTGCAAAGCACATATAAAACTTGCTGTTCATTGGGAATATGCATCATACAATGCTATAATATGTTTTTGTATTATATATCAGAAGTAAAAAATTCGACTTTTATCAGTCTTTGGTAAGGTGAGACAACTGGAGTGTGATGTGGGGGTGCTCTCGTGGTCTAGAAGTAAAAGGCAAGGCGTTCGATCGCCTCTCATTCAATAGGTCCCGGGCTCCAATCTGGATATCGACGGAAAATTTTCTTTTCTAAAATGTTCTCCTTTCACATCATTTCCTGCTCTCTAACAATGTTCTGTCGTCTGCTTTCGTCTTCACTTTCTGTCCCCACCCCCTCCCCTCCTTTGCCCCCCTCCTCTGGGCTCCTGGCTCTTTCAGCAGCCTTTCTACTGCTTTTCCTTGGCTCCTTTTTACTGCTGTCTTTCAACCACACCCCTGATTTTATGGTAGGTAAGATCTACACCTAGCCTTCTCGGACAAGGGAGAAAAATCTCGGAGGTCCCGTGTGCAAGTTGCGCACGTTAAAGACCCCTTGGTGGTCCAAAATCGATAAGAGCAGGCGTCAGCCGCCACCTGGGCAAAATTCAAAATTCCCAACCAACTGAAAATGTTTGGTGCGTCCCACGGGCTCATATGACCTTATGCAGTCGCGAGCGCCGTAAAACACTTACCAAAAAAAAAAGAAAGAAAAAGGAGCATGAGGTGGGATAAAGAGATAGAGCAGGTGGAGGAGGGGGTGGGAAGATAATTTGGAGGGTGGGATGGGAAGATAGTTTGGAGGAGGGGGTGGGAAGATAGTTTGGAGGGTGGGATGGGAAGATAGTTTGGAGGGTGGGATGGGAAGATAGTTTGGAGGGTGGGATGGGAAGATTTTTTTAATGTCGATATTTTTGCGTCCCCTTGGGCACAAGTGGTTGGCGGGTGATCTGATCGTGTGAATTGCTCCTTCTTTCCTCTCAAACATCTATCGTTCTTGTATCTATCCATCAATCTTTTTTGTGTATGTTACTCTCTTGTGAAACCTCTAACCATCGGCACTTATGTGGCCTAAGTATGTTGCAAGTGCTGTAAAACTCTTACTGAAATGACACAATTCTAATCATTTAGGGGACGCATTTCGACCCTGCCTTTCAGGGCCAACTCGGGATGAGAAGGATACAACGTCCCGCAGAAA